TCTTAAGACTCTAACTCCCTAATCACAAAAAAAATCCTCTAAAAAACTTAACTACTAATAAAATGAAGCAGTATGTACTATCCACTTATAAGAAGGAATTTAGAGACTTCATGGAAAAAATTAATTAAAAAATAAGGAAATTTCCCCATAAGCTTTCTTCAATCCTCAGTACATCATGCTTGATGGTTCTGTGCACACTAAGAAAGGACAGGAGGAGAAAGCACCGCTACACGGACACAGATGATCTAGAGAATTATGCAACAGTAAACACTGGGTTTGACACTTCAGTAAAAGAAAATATACCTACAGGAACAAAAAGGACTATGTATGATTGGTAACAAATTTTTTAAGCATAAATAATTCCAGAATATAAAGTTTTACTAAATTTATGAAGGTCCCCCAAACACTTCATTTACCTAAAGTTCCCTGCAATAAAAATCCTTCATGGAATACAGACATGCTACACCATATATAATTATAAAATCAATTTTGGCAGTTTTTTGTCTATTCCTCTCATTTATGAAACTTTTTCCTCCCTTCTAAGTCATTACATATACAGCATAGAAAATTCAGAGCTCTAACCATGCTACAGAATTGACAATGTTTAGGAAACACTGCTAGTCTTTTGATAAATATATTGAACTTACACCTATTTCCTCAACCTAAAAGCACAAGTAAATTTTAAACTTAATGACTCCCACATACAATAAAGTGACATTACCTGATGTGTAGGCATCTCTCGATCTTCCAAAATAATGCTTCTTACATCACTCTGCTGCTCCTATTTAAAATAAAAGTCATGCACCAATTTACCATATATACTCGTGTATAAGCTGAGTTTTTTCAGCACATAAAAAACAATTCATTTTACTGGGGGCTCATACAACTCTTATATAATCCATACATCCATTAATTGTGTAAAGCGCATTTGTACATTTGTTGCCTTCATCATAGAATACAACTTTTTTTCAAACACATTTGTACATTTATTGCCCTCATCATT